GTGTCCCAGTTTGTTCCCACATGTGCTTTGCTCCCACATGTGCAAGCCGAGTTAATTTTTCGTAATCCCTAAAACTTGCACTGTACTTTTGGGATGATTGTCCACAAGAAACTAATACCTCACTGAACTACCTATCTAAAAGCTTAACATATTAGAGAGGGGTCCACTTTATCTATTTTACATGGGTTTATCCGGATGTACCGAAGGGGGATGACCGAATGGTGTCCCCCTCCCCTCCCCTCACAAATGCGGCGAGCCCCATGTTTTTAAAAAAATGCGGCTCGCGGTCCCCACTCCCAAATGTGAGTAGGGTATAAAAGATTAGGTAAAAAATTATATATATGTAGCATAACCCATTTTACATTCTATTTTCAATTGACAAAGATGGTTAGACCAATGCTCACATGGCCAGTCTGTAATAATTGCTAAGGATCACTTGTTTTAGATCCTTCAATAGATCTAGCAACAGAGAGAATGGCCAAAAAGATTCATGTAATTGACCCTGAAGTTATTGAGATAAATGCTTAATTTGGAGCTGTTGTAGTTCAACAAGGTTACAGTGTCAATGTTCTTGATTTTGAGTCATTGTCTTGCAGAAATCGCAATTTCGTTTTCCCCCGTTTTCGGGTACACAATTGATTTTGAATCTTATTTTTCTTTAGGCTTTGAAGCTTTTGAAGGCATCTCTACATTCAAGCAATGTTCTGACCACTGTTTTCCTGAATGATGAATGTGACTACTAGAATGTTCCTATTTCCACAAAAGTTGAAGATTGATGATTTTGTGACGTAATGAGATTCTTGGACATATTTTGATGAAGACTGTAAATTGGAACTCAAAGAAGGATTCTATCGTATCCGTTTTCTTTGTTAGAAGTAAAATGACTAGTTTTTCGCAATTCCTAGGTGATATTATGTTGATGAAATGCATGAGGATGAATTTTCAGATGAAATATTATCAGAATTGCTGGATTTGTCCTAGTGTAATTTGCTTGTTATGCTGCAACTTTGTATCTATTGGCGTACAAATAATACTGCATATTGAATGCAATTCTAAATCTGGTTATCATCATGTCAGAAATTCATGAGCAGGTACAGAATAGTCAAATTCAACAATATGTCAAACGTTTGACATAAAAAACCAGTCATCCTTTATTTCTTGTTGTACTTGTGCAATATTTCTTTAATTGAATTTGGTTCGATTTGTATCCATGGATCATGGGGATTTACGACTTTTAAGTCGTTGAAATATAATTAATGTAAATTTAAAGAAACTTTTTGTCCGCAAGAGTGACCAAAAATCTTAGGGGTGATGAAAGGGTTGGGTCCAATCACTACAATAAAATTGTGATTTCGCGACAACATTTCCAATCACTACAATAAAATGGTGATTTCGCGACAACAAAATGTTATCGCAAAAATTGAGATTTTGTTGCAAAAGTAATTTAGCGACGACACTATGTTTGTTTCAAGTATTGTCGTGCTATACGAGTCGTAGAATGTGTTCTGTGACGACTTTCGGCCATTTATCGTATTAACAAAATCGCGACACTATTTGTTTGACGCGAAAAATACGGAATATCAATACAATATTTGTAGCCATAATATTATATATATGTCGCGAAAAATTAGAAGGGCGACAAGTCAGTTTGTTGCAACGAATATTCCAATAACGTTTTTACGAGAAATATGTTTATTGCGAATGTTGAGTCACAGAATGTATTCTGCGATAACTTTCGGCCATTTATTGCATTAACAATATTGCAACACTATTTGTTTGACGCAAAAAATACGNCGCAAAAAGGCGACAAGTCAGTTTGTCGCAACGAATAGTTCAAGAAAGTTTTTACGAGAAATATGTTTATTGCGAATGTTGAGTCACAGAATGTATTCTGCGATAACTTTCGGCCATTTATTGCATTAACAATATTGCAACACTATTTGTTTGACGCAAAAAATACGAAATAACGACACGATATTTGTAGCCATATTGTCGATCATACATGTCGCGAAAAAATAAAAGCGTTACAAGAAAGTTTGTCGTAACGATTATTCCAATAACGTTTTTGTTAGAAAAAATGTTTGTTGCGAATAATCTTTTAAAGGTGTAATTTTTGCTGCCTATTTTATTTTGCGACAATACATGCT